ATGAAATGTTGTGTGGAGAACAGTAATAATATATTAAATATAGATTATTAATAATAGTACTTTAAATAATCCAATTATTTTTCATTCAAACCAACTTCATTGCACCAACACTATAGTGCTGGTTCTAGCTAAGACATTTCACAGCAAGCAGCTTAGCTGTTGCCCTGAATTTAAAGAACGAGTTTTATGAAGAATATTGCTGCTAAGGGCTTACACACCAATCTTGTCAAGCATCGCTTTCTTAGTACATTTACTTTCATTGGGACTGAGGAGGAAAACAGTTCTGTGAACATTAGTATTTTCTGTACTCTGACAATTTATGTCAGCTCATTCAGATCTTTCCTGATCTCTTGCTGCTCCAAATGTGAAGTTTGTGACACCTTATGAAACTTCTCAAGATAGAAAAGGCTGTTCCTGCCATTGATATACAAAAGATTCACTATCAGTTTATTATGAAACCTCAAAGAAGGTGTTGCCTTCAGATTCCTTTGCTGATGATTATTTTATTTATCTCTGCAGGTCTCTCTGTCTGTCCCCTTTCTTCCCTTCTGGATTTTTTTTAAACTTACCCTACCTAATTTCTGGATATAAAGGTTAGCAGAAGTTATAGCGTCTTTCCCAAAATTTTGACGGCTCCTCAAGGGATTGACTTACATACTGAATTAAGACATCATGGCTGCATCTCGTGCCATTATGAAAATGAAAGTCCTTGCTGGTAACTTCTGTACACAGACTTACTTAGCACAAAGCATCTCTGAAATCACAAGAGCTATAGTTTTCCTACAAATGATTGCCTGCATATGGAATATCTTCCTTTTCTTTCTTTTTTTCTGTTTAAAAGAAAATTAATTCTGGAAAAGGTTCTCATATGTGAACTTAAGTACACTTTTCAAAGTTGCCTGGAAGCTTTTGCATCCCAAGATTAATTCTGCACATCTTAAATCTGCGCTATGAGCAGATACCCGAATTACAAATGAGGTATTTTAGGTGCAAAGTAGTGGAATAACTGTTTTAGCCTGGTGCTTTTGTGTTCATGTTCCTGATTTCTTGGGAGAGCTAATAGTCTGCCTTGAATGCCATCCTGGCTGACCATTCTTCTCTCAGTTTCTGAGCAAGCTGTAGGCTTTTGTGCAGATATGACTTAAGTCTTATCTTCAAAGATTACTTAAGTCTCATAAAAAGGCAATGGATTAATTATGGTTTTTTAAAATCATATTTTAAATCAGACTTTGGCTCCTGTATTACTTTTGAAATGTTGATACTTGTTCAATATTTAATCTTTGTTAGGTCAATAATAGTAGGTAGAATTGAAGACTAGTTAAAAAGCAAAGATATTAATTAGATTGTCCATTAAAATCTATGACTCAGTCTTCAAACATGGTGTGGACTAAGGCCCACCTATCGTTAGGGCATAACTGAAGCATCTGAGGAAAATTTAGTCAGAGTCATCTTTCTAGACAGTTAACAGACAAAAGGGGCACCTTCAGAGTTTGGTTCAGCTGAACTAAGATCTGAATTGCTCTTTGAAGTTGCCTGTGTCTCTTCGTTGACTGTAGGAGTCTGAGATGACTAGGCTCCTAACTTAGAGGCCTCAGGTAAGTGTCAAAAATTTATCATATTTAAGAATATTGGTTTAAAATTAATACTTACGCTGCTTATGTGCAGTATATAGCTTCCCATTAGTTAGGAGAAAAATACATGAAGTGCATTGATTCAAAGATGATGGTCAAAATTACAGATATCACAGATTAAGTCTGGCAGCTCTTCTGATGTGAAATATGAGTATAAATTAAAGGAGTAGGTAATGACTATAGCCATGGCTTACGTTCCTTACATCTTTAAGAAGTGCAGCAATTTACAGCAAACAAGTTTTATGTTTCACCCTTGGTTTTCATATTGCAACTGCAAAGTGCTTACTGTAGGTGATACTCCACTATAGATAATTGTAACACTTCTGTTCAGGCTAAAAGTACTTTAGCGTTTCATATTTCAGAGTAAATAGACAGGATTTCTCCTTTAGATATTGGCCAGAAGACTGCTTTTCCAATAGTACTGTTAGAATATTGGGTTTTTTGAAACGAGTAGATAAGAACAGACAAATAATATATGATATGCTTGAAATATACATAGCCTGAATTCTTCATTATTGTTAGATATATTTTCCTATTCCACCTGCATAGAAATTGTCTTCAAATATTATTTAAAACTGATACTTCATGATTTGTCAAAGTATGCCAGGCTTTTTTTCAGTAGTATAATTATCCACTGAAGAAATTAAGGCAACCTGTACTTTTGATACATCTCATCTATCTCTCCACACGTATTAGCTGGCAGAAAAGATATTCTGGAAGATGTGGGATGACACACACGTCATTGTGGAAGTCATCTTAAGGTTGCTGACCTTAATGAGGGCTAGTATTAATATGGCTGGATTCAGGCCAGTGAGATATGAATACCATCAGCCTTCATTAAGACTGGTGTTGGTGTCTGCTATTTAGCTAGGTTCAAGCCTGAGACTGACAGGGAGTGTCCTTGTGAGGGTAAAGCTAGGGTTAGGTTTTTGGACTGAGGCTGGCTGATGACATATGGTGAGGATGTGTCCAGAATTTGCCACTGGACTAGATATGGGATTTAGCAGTGGTACTGTTTGGTTAGGGTCAGACTGTTGGGGAGAACTGGACGAATTAGGTTTGGAGTTAAGGTGGTTCGTGCCAGCATAAGAAGTTGATTTATGGCAGGGTCTGCAAAGGGCTGGTATCACCCAGAGACATCTGGTTATTGCTGAGCCAAGGTTTTACAGGGATCACTGAGCTTGGGTTAGGGTTAGGATTAGGCTTAGGCAGACATCGATTGGCAAACGAGAGTTATGGTTGAGTTAAGAAGGATCAATTAAGCAAGGTAGCAGCAGCAGAGCCTGACTGAATAGGTTTAAGTATGAAGTTGAAATTTATCTCTATTTCATAGCCAAGAAAGGGGTGGAGATGAGAGCCAGGGCTCAAGCTGTGTCAATGAACGAAGTATAATTGAGGTTGCAGCTGAACTGCAAGGCTGATGTAATCTCCAGTTTTACCAGTACTCTGGTAGTCCAAAGCAGGTGATCTGGAGCACAACATGCCTCCTGCCTTGCTTCAGCCTCCTGGGATCCACTTCCCGTAAGGCAAGGACACGGTTTGGGTGTTCATCTGGAATGGGGAACAGAGAAATTACTAGGAGCAAGTAATATATACCTACGTGTGAGTCCAAAAAGGAAGATAGCACTCTGTCTAGATTCAACACTCAGGCTAGGATGAAAGGTAGGAGTAAGATCCTGGCCAGAAAGGTCTGATGTTGAAGATGTTGATGTAGAGCAGTGTCCACTAGGGTCAGCTGAACTAGACTTAGGGCTGATAATTGACAGGAAGGTAACTGGCTCTACTTAAGTCAGAAGTTGTAGTAATTACTTATTTAAGGCTAACATTGGATTGTGGCTTCGTGAGATTTTGGGCAAAAAGGTCTGATGAAATAGAGAAGGTTACAATAATTCAGAGTAGTTAGGATTTCAGTCTGCATCAGCATCATTGTTTTAGAGATGAAGTTAGCAAAGACTGCTTTGTACAGATTTGAGGTTTAGCTGGGTAGTCAGACTTAAATGATTCCTAAAAATAAGCTTGCTGATATTTAGATGCTGCTTATTTCAAGGATGTGCACTAAGGTAAGAGCTGAGGGGTCTGATCAGATGGCTAGAAGAAGCACATCTCTGGTAAACGTAAGGAGAGGGCTCCTTAGGGGGCTGATCTCCACACCTGTCTATAAACCAGAGGAGTGGTGAACTAAGCTGCTTTTTCTTAGATTGGATTCCAACATGTTGTTTAATAAATATCTCTTAGAATAAATGTACAGTAAAGAAAAAGAAAAGACCCGCTTACATTGGAGAAGTTGGTGTTTCCAGGTGTGGCACTCTCCTGTGTCTTAGCATTCGATCTCTGACATCATGCAGTGAAGAACAATATTACACATAGCAAGTAATACATTTTGGTTTTGCTCTTGCAACTATTCTTTTACTGATTTTAACTTCCTCTGTTTCTAGTATACTGAGGAAGATAAGCATGTACCTTTATGCCAGATGAGCAGACTGTTTCCAGGACTGAGTTCTGGGGACTGGGCTTTTCCTGTTAATCTAAGTTACTCGACAAGGGCTTGTGCAGAGATGAGTCAGCTCCTTTAAGCAGTTTGCATTTGAGTAAAGTACAGGTAAAACAGGTATAGATTAAATCCAATTACACAGCAACTGGTTAACTGTCTAGTAGGTCCAGCCAATAAACTTGGAGGCCTCAATGACCATGCAGCTGAATTAAATCCCTCCAGAACATCCCTCATCTGTGCTTCCGGCTCTGTCCTCCAAAACGGGCTCACAGTAGGCTTTTGGGAATGATCCCAAACTGTGCCTGAACATTGTTTTGGAGAATGTCAGTTGGTGCAGGGCAACCATGTGCCAGGAGTTCAGTAGTGTGGAGGATCATATTCCAGTGCCCAGGAATGCTCTGGCCACTGCTAAATTTTACAGCCTTAGAGACTGAAAGACCAGAAGCCTATTTGTCAATCAGTCTCTCAGAGTTTTGCTTTTAAGTGCTTCCATAAAATATATTGACATTTGCATCTTGTTAGCATCTTGTGATGGTGTAAGAAGCATTTTTTTAGAACTTCTTATTTAGTGCAAATTATATGGGAGCAAATCTTAAGTCTTGTAACCTGCTTGGAAAAGCAGGTGGGAGGCTGAATAGAACCGCAAGTATGGAAAGCGTGGAGAGAGCAGCAGCGATACCCAAGCATTTACAACACCAGTTTTAGTCCCCTTCACATGGGGAATATTGGAGATGTGACAGTAAGTGTCAGCTAGCTGCAAGTGCTCATTTCATTGTGATTATCCATCACAGTGCATCCATGTTTGTACCTAATTGCACAAGAAGTGCTGAAGAGCAGGCATCTTTACTGCAATGTCACTTCCTCCCTTTCTCCCCCTACAGTGTAACAATCATTTATAGTGCCAGAGATTTCTTGTGAAGACTGGGGCAAATGTGTGTTGGCCCAAAATATTGGCCAATCAATTGTTTTCTCCTATACTGCCAGTAGTTGAATGCTGAAAATATAGTTTGCATGTTTCTCTGTTTCTATTGTAAACCCTAGAATAAACTAAAATTCTAGTTTTCATTGAAATAAATTTATTTATGGAAGGTGAATATTAACATTTTAAAAACCTGAATTTTTATTAGTTTACATATAAGCATTTTCATGCATCTCTCATATCTGAAGTCTATAAAGTTATAAATAAACTGTACTCTGGCTTCCTTTATATAAAGGAAATTGTACCTGACAGCCTATAGAATGATAATTTCAGTGTGTTTAGGAAGCTGTTTTCAGCAGAGGACATTTCAAGATTTCTTTATAGCACATGATAATACTGAATTTCACTATACTGGAGCGATTAAAGATTTTTAAAACTGGTTTTATTGGAAATTATCATATATATATAATTTCTCTATGTCTTGCACGTATGGATTCAGTACTTAATTCTCTGGAATAATGAGTTAACATTTTTTTCATATATTTTTGAGGATTTCTATGTCTGTCCATTTTACTTGCCTTTTGTAAACTTTTAGTATCAAATTGCACATAGTATTTTAAAATAAATTTTAAAATTAAAATGCTTCTTATGAGAAATGAATGACAGTATTCATTTACTTAATCCTGGGTGGCCTTGTCATTGTAGATGCCTAAAAACATCCCACCTGGCCTGTGGGTGCCATTCCAGAAGGGCACAGGTTTTTCTGTAGTTTTGTGACACATCAGCGAGCCCTGTGCTGATGTCTTAAAACTCTGATATATCTGAAATGACACTAGACACCCATGTTTGGGCAACTGAGTTGCTCCTGAAGTGACTATTGTATTAGGGTCTCCTCTACAAAAATGTACCACCAAGGCAGTGAAGAGCCACGTTGCATTGGGTTTGTGACTGTTAAGCAGGTTGTCAGCAATCAGGAAAATTGACATCAGTGTGGTTTTTTGCCTAACTTTCCCACTCTGGACCTTGACCTTCTTCTGTCCTGTTTGTCTGGTGTTCCTGTTCTTCCTCGTTATTAGAGCAGGCACCCTTGGTGCATATGCTGGAGCCCATAGAGGAGCTTTCAGAAGAGGAAAAAGGTAACGGTTGATTCAGCTCAAAATGTAGTGGCATGTGTTTTTTGAAAATAAAAATCTATTATTCGATACCTACAGTATTTTTTCATTGTATTTGAGCATGCTTATGTGATTTGGGTGGGAACATTCCTTGCTTGTGTCAGTCTCCTGTTTGCTATTGGTGCTTGTAAATATTATGATTTCCTTACCCAAGTTCGATGTTTTTATGGAAAGCTGGCTAATTCTTTAAAGCAGGCGTATTCCATATGTCTAAAGGCACTTGAGCTAAGCAGAGTGAAAATGTTTGGTGGGGGATCCCCCCTTACTAGGAAATTTTTGGTGCTGACGCTGTTGCAGTGTATGCTCACTTCTTTTTCAAACTCTGCTTAAGAGGATAAAGAGTTCAGATCGAAGAAGGAAGTTGGTGGTGGAGGTTGAAGCTGCCTACTTTGATAGATGCACCAAAGATACTTTTGCAAGTAATCTAAGTTATGCCTACCTCTAAGCAGCCACAGCTCCAGCCAGGATTGTGCAGTTGTGCAATTCTGAATGTAGCCCAGTGTTGGCAGCTGTTCTTCTGCTTCATCTGAGGGAAACTTGGAGAAGGCCACATTTACAGTGACAGAAGAGAAAGCACTGGTTCATCCTGCATGGTATTCTTCTCCTGAAGAAGGCTAACAGTACTTCAGATGGAACGCCAAGTAGCTGAATAGCATAATAATCTGTACTGTGTGCAAAAATCAAAATCAGTCTTGAACGTTATAGCCAATGAGTTTAAATTTTGAAGGAATGATGCTGTTTCAAAAACAAAATTGTTGTTTGAATACATCTGCGCGTAAGTGAGAGGTTTCCCCAGGGAAAATCCAGTGACTCTGAACAACCTGAAATAAAGACTGCTCGCATTTTTGCCGTTCTTTCTGCTATTTCTCTTGCTTGCCATCTTCTCTCTTGATGGATTGTCTTTGATTCTTCTGCTGTGCCTAAAGGCATGGCCTGCAGTACAAAAAGAGAGAAAGAAAGAAAGAATGCAGTCTGAAAAGATAGACCAAGATTTTTTTGTTTTCAGTGACAGCCATTTGTAAGGGAGAGTGTGAAAATTCTTGACTTGGCAGATTATTTTATCGGATTATGTAGGAGCTGAGACAGTGGACGAGACTTAAGGTCCCTTGTCTCCAAAGCTGTCCAATCTAGTATTTAGGGTTTTTTTAAAAAACAAAAATGAATAAGAAAACAGTTCCTTAAATAGTTGACTCCAGCAAAGAGGATTTGGCTTGAGTTAATTAGCAAGAATTAATATTGTCATTAATTAGGATAATGCCAGATAGTCTTGTTAACCATATTAGTATGTAGTAATTACGAATTTTAAAATTATTTTAGATGGATCTATTTTATTGTAAGGATTAACATCTGAAAGGGACAGGATTTTCAGAAGGCTCCTTGGAGTCGTCCGCTTTAGATGTCTCATGTCTGCCTTTGTGGGAAGATTTCATACTGCATAATGCACCTTTTCCTGATTGGGGATAATCTCATAGCCCTGTATTTCTGCACCAATCAGTAGTTTGCCTCTGCTAGGACTCAGCTCTCCAGCCAAATCACTTTTAATCCCACCTCTGTCAGCGACTGAGTTGTCCACACAGTTCCCAAAGCCAGTTAAGATTGCAGCCAGATTCTGTCCTGTTCAACACAGATCTCTTAGTATGGTAGCTGGACTCTTTCAGTTTTCATTACCTACAGTTCTTTCCCAGATCCATTGGAAGCCACTGCCTCAAAACAACCTAAATATCATTTGTGTATCTTGAGGCTTTACTGGGTTCTCTTCAGGGTGCTTGTCCTTCCATTAAAGAAAAACGAAAACTAAATGGAACTGCTTTTTAAGCAATCACTGTTTAAAAATAGGAAAAGTTTGTTTTGAAAGAAAACATTTGAAAGTCACAATATGGAATTATTCCTTCATTTATGTCCTTGTCTGTGGGCTGGCAAATGACTCTGCTGCCTTGTAAGGCATGCTGGAAAGAGACAAGCTCCTGCCCAAGATTTACCTTTTATTTCAGGGGGCGAAGTTGGGAGTGTGGTTTACAGCATGCTTTCCTGGGATGTTGTATACTCCTCTATGTACGCTTTGCCAGCTTTGCTGACCACTGACAGACAGAAGAAGCTACCATGGTCCCACTGATTATTGGTTCACTTAGTATAAGAGGCATTCAGTAAAACTCTGTCTTGCCAGAGACATTTTATAGGCAGGTTCCAAATGGATATGTTTTGCTTCTTTACTCCCCTGTATGACCCTATAATACTTTGGCCTAACTTAAATGTCAATCTCTAAGTTAGACGGAAGAATCTGTCTAGATGATTCTTTATTTCTTGCATAAGAGTTCATGTCATTACTGACACTTAAAGCAGGGAAAAGAGATAGAAACTTCTTGTCTGCTTTTAAGTATGTATGATGTCATAGCCCTGCATAGAAGAAAACACGACACTGAACTTTGTCCTTGAAAGAGTTTTGAAGATAAGTATTATCCGTCATGTATTTTCTGTGAAATGGTCTGCCTCAGACTAAGGTTTTGACTTCACCAAGACTTTTGAAAATGTTAAAACTTTCCAAAGATTTGATTTCAGTAGGTGTTTTTTGTCAAAGAACATTATGTTTCTTGAAGCTTTTCTTGAGAACAAGTTTGTCATATTCCTGTTCTAATTCCTGCTAGAGTTCAGCTTTGATTTGAAATACCACTTTTAGAGAGCTTAATTATCAGAAGATAGTCTTTATCAGAAGTTTCCAAGTATAGTTCTAAAAGTAAAGATCTTCATTGCTAAATATTCAGGCATATATCTTTACAGTGATTCCGTAACAAGAAAAATAAGAGATACTTGTGATGGTGAGTACGAGGCGCTGAGGTATAGATTCCAAGTGAGCTGACTTTTGTAAGCTAGCCCAAGATTTTAAAAAGAATACAACTCCATGTAGACAAAAAGTGCACATGTATGTCTATGGTGTTTCTAAAAAATGCATGCTTCAGTGCAGGTTTTAACTGTCTCATGCACTGTGGATTTCTCAAATGTCTCTTAAATGCATTTTTCCATTCTTATTTCAGAAATTGAGAAAGGTGATCATAAAACAGGTAGAAGTCACCACTATCTAATAAATGCTTTGAAGACTGATCCTTCTTTAACTAAAGAATTACGAGTTGTTTTGGAGCAAGCCCTGGAGGAGAAGCTGGAATCCTTGGGAATTAAAGCAGTAAGATTATTTTGAGTTGTTTAAAAGAAGGGTAATATTTGTCCCACTTTTTTGCTGTTCTCTGTCACTCCTGTACCACAACCCTCAACCTATAAAATCCAAAGCTAAATTTCCTCGAGTTAAAAATAAGTGTAATTCATTAACCTGAGAGGGTATCCATCAAATTACAGTTGCGGAGCATATGGCTACACTCGTGGAGGATATGGCTACACCAACTTCTGAGATTTTTCTACAAGCTTTGATTTGAAGTTTAAAAGAGTGTATATGATTATAGGACAGAAATCCCAGAAATAATAGCCCCTGTGTTTACAATACAATTTGTTTCCTTAGGGTGTTCGCGGTATCCCAAATGATCGCTTAAATAAAATTTTGCGTGCTATTGAATCTGCTAGAGAATGCAAACAGAAGCAAGAGCCTGACATTCAGCGAATTCGAGAGCATCTTGAACGCCAAGTTAGCTTTAGGGTTGAAGAGAAATCCTCATCTTGCAATAGACCTGTTTCCTGTCCTCAGCTTCCTTCAGAAGGTTAAAATGTTTTTGGTTTTTTTTTTCATTCTCTTACATTTTATAACTGCTATTAAAGGTTTTATTTAGCAGTATTTCTGTATAGCTGCTTTCATAATTTTTCATATAAATATTCTATATAGTTATGGCCAACTAAACAGTTTCCTTTAAAGGGTTCTTGACGTGTTTAACTGCAGAAATCTTAGCTCCTATATTGGCAAGATACATGGTAACTCTGAACTGCTCTGAAGAAAAAAATTACTTTTTTTCTTTTTTGTAAAACTATAATCTGCAGCAGAGACGTCTTTAATTTTAGAAATTAAATATAAAAGGTACCAAACATTGTTTCTAATAATGAGATAGATAATTTATTTTGTAGATAAACAGAAGTTCAATCAATGGGGAATTTCCTCATCTGCCACACCACGAAAACCAGTAAAACGGAATTCAACAGCTGTCCGCCCAGCTGAACAAAGAACAGCCGTTGCTGAGAATACATCTACACCAAAGTAAGAGACGCTATTCTCATAGTATTCATACCTCAGGTAACAATCCTATGGGTTTGGGTTTTTGTGACTGATGTGAACATTTCCTGCTAATATTGTAAGAATTGAGCAAAGAATTCACATTACTTCTATATAAACGTTATGCTTACTTAGTTGACTGTCAGTCTTGAAATATCTTGTCTTGTTATTTTTAGATCCAGGAAGCTTTTTGGAAATGGAGTTTCCACAAAGACATCTAGTATCACGTATGTTTTGTTCCCTTGTATTTTTGAAGAAAACATTTTTGGTGACTGAATATTCACATGCTTGCCACGCAAAAGCTATTATTAAGCTGAAATTATAAACACTTTCTGGACTGCATATTTCATATTTTGTTTTAAAGTATTATTCCATTTTAGTCTGTTATAATCCCTGAAAGATAGCATGTTCTCCTTTCAGCAGATGTATTCTTTATCGTGAACGAGAGGGGGACATTCAATAAAATCGGGTAGTATCACTTCCTTTAGTTTCGTTCTCCGATGCTTTTTCTGAGCCAGTTAAAAGCATTTTAAGACTTTGGTGAGCTAATTTTTTCAGTTTATTGATATTTTCTTACTGTGAGCAAAATTAAACACAATATTCCAGATCCACTCACATCAGGCACATTACTTCGTAATTGCCTGCACTGAAAAATTCCTGTATTTTCATCTAACAGAATATCAGAACAGACTTTCTGTGGTGCAGATTCCTTGACCCTGAATTTATCTCTCCCTGCTGATCCATGAAAGCCTATCTTTGCCTGCAAGACTTGTTATGTATTGATCTGTTGATTTGTAAGGATAGTTGCATAGATGGAAATAATCATGTCTACATAAGAGATCATTTTGTGATAACTTTCTGAGTTTACTTAGCAGCATGATTTCTTTTAAATAGTTTTATGGATAGTTAGAATTTATGGGAGCTCCTGTTTTTTTTCACATACGAAAAACGCATGTTACTGGAAAGGAAAATACGAGGAAGCTTAAATATGTATATATCAATGCAGTCACTGAAACCCAGTAAGTCCTCGGGTTGTATGTGTTTTTGCATAGAACTCCACCATTCAGTTCAGAGGAAGAGATTGATGAAGATGATATTAAGCAGTCTTACATATCACCAGAATTATTGCAAAAGCAGTCAAAAACATCAAGCAGCAAAGTCAGTGTTTTTCAGAAGGCTTCTGGCAAAAGCAATATGGGTGGGACGGAGGAAAGTGAAATTGAAGAAACTGGAACATCTGCGAAAACTTCAAAAGGTTTTTTCACTACTTTTGTATATGCGTGTTGTAACAGCTGTGCATGATTTTGCATTTCCTGATAATATTTCTGTGTTAGAAAACGTAATGAAGGCAGACTATCTAGTCTTGAGTGTATGTATATTTGTGTACACTTTATGCTTTTGCTAATATGTTTATATTAACACAGTACTTAGAGATGTCAGTTCAAATTAGATGTGTATCATGCTGTTTTATATAAATGCAGAAAAAGAGACAACCTGTGCCTCAGGGACACTTCTGCCTAAAACAGTTTTTCTCAGCCTTTTACTTATTTTTACTTTGTGGAAGATTTCTAGAGGGTTTACAGTAAAGCCCCTTACTTGTGAATGGAAACTGTCAATATAATTTTTTATGAACTTTAGGAGCAGTTATTCAAAAACTGACCGAACAAGTTGGAAAGAGTCTTTCTAACCATGGAAATAAGAACAAACCAGCTGGAGGGATTAATGTTGCGGAGGCATTTATTAAGAAAGAAGAGGTGCGAGAACTGAAGGTATCACTTTCAAAAGCCATTATTATTTCATTAAGTAATTGAACTAGATCTATAACTATTACTCTTTTTTTTATGCTGAAACCATCTTGATGCAGTGAAGAACTTAATTCTCAAAGACAGTTTTGGAATTACAGCTAAGTAGTCTTTTGGGGTATGTCTGCACTGGTATATAGAAAAGTGCTAGTGAGTGAGCTGTGGCAAGTGACCTCTTCATCTACACTGCTTATTAGCTTATACCATGACTGTTTTGGATCACTACAGCTAGCCTGCAGGTTGGGCACAATTGGTATAATTTTTATCTCCTGTTCTAACAGCATAGAGAGAGCCCTTCTTTACTTGCTTTCCTAGTATCTTGTTTTGATGGAGGAAAAAATGAATTTGCTTATCTAATATTTTAAAATAGTTTTATTTCTAAAGCTTTATCTGATATGGAACTTTTAAATACATATTAACGAGGGGACAAATTCCATTTCTGATATGGTCTTTGTTCTGCTGCATCTATTTACAATCATACACTGTTTTCAAACTACATCAGATAAATCACTGATGTCTGTCCATTGAGTATGGCATATGTTCACAATCAGAATACTAACACAACTTATTCTTTACCCCTCAGGCTCCTAATGTCCCAGTCTTCCCCTCAGTTTAGAGTTTTATAATTGGTAAGCCACTTTGATGCAAATTGATCTTTGCCTGAACAATTTTTTTTAAAAGAACAAAAGTTACTCCAAATTAGAAGTCAACAGCAGATAGTGCTATTTATTTCAGTTTTAGTAGTTGTTACTAGATTGAAGTAGACAGCCAGATACTAGTTCTACCATTCAAGAAAATATTTTTTCACTAAATAAATAATAATCACTGAAAATCCTATAATAATAAAACTGATACCTTAGGGCTTCCTGACTAACAGTTAAACCTGAAATTTATCACTCCTCCCAGAAACAGTGACACTTCTAGTTCAATTTCCAGAAAGGGGTGATTGTCTTAATCAACTTCAGCTGTAATGGTAGGGTAATCACATTTAGCCTGCGTGCTTTTAATTGCCACTGGTGACACCTAACTTGACCATTGACTGTGTGAGAGCTGCAAATCACACCAGACTCAAAATTATCAACTCAGACGTGACTATTTGCCATTTTAGAGCGGCCTCTAAACCACTCACTCGTGACACTATTACAGTGTAATTTTCTGTCCAAATGTTACTTTCAAATTCTCTGCAACGTCAGATGATAAAAGACTATAAAATGTTCACAGTTAAATTTAGGGAATGTTACATTTTGTAAAGATCTATAGACCGTTGGCCACTATGTTAAGGAATTTCAGCTTCAAGAGCAAAAAGCTGTAGCAAAATAAGCCTTAAAATCTATGTTTTAAAGATGCCTTAGTTTTCACTGGTAACTTCTCTTCCCACATCTCTCAAGCCCCTGAACCTCAAGGCAGGGACTGGGGGAATGAAGTCCCTCCCATCGTGGGAGAAGATGAGGTTTGAGACTACCAGAGGAACCTGAACATACATAAGTCCATGGGACCTGATGAGATGCCGCCCAGGGTCCTAAGGAAATTGGCTGATGTAGTTGCCAAGCCACTCTCCATCATATTTGAAAAGTCGTGGCAGTCAGGCAAAGTCCCTGACTGAAAAAACAGAAACATCAAACCCATTTTTAAAACGGGGAAAAAGGAGGACCCTGGGAACTACCAGCCAGTCAGCCTCACCTCTGTGCCGGGTAAGATTGTGGAATGGATCCTCCTGGAAGATATGTCGAAACATATGGAAGACAGGGAGGTGATTACAGACAGCCAACATGGCTTCACCAAGGGCAAATCATGCCTGACTAATCTGGTTGCCTTCTAAGATGGAGTGACTTCATCAGTGGACAAGAGAAGAGCTACGGATGTCATCTACCTGGACTCTTAAGGCATTTGATACTGTCTCCCACAACATTCTTGCCTCTAAATTGGAGACATATAGGATTGATGAATGGATTGTTAGATGGATAAGGAACTGGCTGGATGGCCGCGTCCAAGGAGTTACACTCAGTGGCTCAATGTCCAAGTGGAAACCCACCAGGAATGAGTGGTGTCCCTCAAGGATCTGTATCGGGACCACTACTGTTCAAAGTCTTTATTAATGACATAGTGGGATCGAGTGCACCCTCAGCAAGTTTGCAGATGACACCAAGCTGAGTGGTGCAGTTGATGCGCTTGAGGGAAGGGATGCCATCCAAAGGGACCCGGACAGGCTTTAGGACTGGGCCCAGGTGAACCTCATGAAGTTCAACAAGACCAAGCGCAAGGTTCTGCACCTAGGTTGGGGTAATCCCCAATATCAATACAGACTGGGGAATGAATGGACTGAGAGCAGCCCTGTGGAGAAGGACTTAGGGATAGTGGTGGATGAAAAGTTGGACATAAGCCGGCAATGTGTGCTTGCAGCCCAGAAAGACAATTATATCCTGGGCTGCATAAAAAGAAGTGTGGCTAGCAGGGTGAGGGAGGCGATTCTCCCCTTCTACTCTGCTTTCATGAGAACCCACCTGGAGTACTGTGTCCAGCTCTGGGTTCCCCAGTACAAGAAAGACATGGACCTGTTACAGCAGGTTCCAGTCAGAGGGCTGGAACACCTCTCCTATGAGGAAAGGCTGAGAGTTGGGGTTGTTCAGCCTGGAGGAGAGAAGGCTCTGGGGAGACCTGATTGCGGCCTTTCAAAATATAAAGGGGGCTTATAAGAAAGATGGAGACAGACTTTTTACCAAGGCCTGTAGTGACACGACAAGGGGCAATGGTTTTAAACTGAGAGTAGGTTTAGATTGGATATAAGGAGGAAATGTTTTATGATGAGGGTGGTGAGACACTGGAACAGGTTGCCCAGAGAAGTTGTGGATGGGCCATCATTGAAAGTGTTCAAGGGCAGGTTGGACAGATGTTTCTGCCCATGGCAGAGGGGTTGGACTAGATGATCTCTAAAGGTCCTTTCCAACCCAAACCATTCCATGATTCCATGGAAAGTATTTTTGCTATAATTCATTTAGAATACATTGTGTCCCTGGTGTATTAACACTGGCATGTTGCTGTATGGACGTGATGAGTTTGAAATGAGTTTATGAACTAAGGGCAGGCGTTGCTACTTTGTTTCTGGAATCTTTACAGAACAACCCACCATCAATACAATTCTTGCTAATTATATATGCATGTGCATATATTCCTGTCCCTATTTGTATGTTTAAATGTAGGCATATAGTTCAAGTTAATTCATTAAATTTTAGGAGGGATTTTCAAAGGTGCCCAAAGACATAAGCACAAAATGCCATTGGAATGATGGTTTCTCTGAAAATCTGAATTTTTTTTATTAGCTTAAATACTAAAAGCTTAAATACTTATAGCTGCTAATGGTTGTTCTCAAAACCCACAATACCATTAAACCTTTGTAAGGCATCCCATTGTCATATGTTTTATAAAGGTCATGTTTTACAGAAGTTGCTTCGGAAACATTTTAGAGAAAATTGATTTTGTGCTTACCTGAATCTGTATTACCCGAGTTCACCTGTACCAGACATTGTATGGATTATAGTATTTCTTTGGAGCAAGTCTTTGAGTTAATAAAACTGCTTAGCAGTTTTGATTGGTGCTGTGTATTTATACTTGATCAAAACTGAATTCTGTTTGAAGTTGACATTTTTCTCTGTATTTTGTACTTTAAAAATCAGTTGGGACTTAGTGAATGTTTGAGGAAACTCTTCCTCCAGCATTTCTCAATATATGTGACTCTGACTTTCCCATTACCACACCCTCCAAATACAGATCATTTAAAACAGCAAAATGTTGAATCCTGGTATGTTAATAATACAGCACACCGAGCAGATCTGTCAGTTTTTTAAAAACAGTTTGCAATGTTAAAACTGAGTTATGTTGCAAGATACAGCATTATTGCAGTCTCTTCCCTTCTTTCGAGACACATGACACGTTCATATTTGTTGATTTTTCTCTAGTACATACATACCTTACATTGCTTTCTAATAGCATCTGAATCTTTCTTCTGTGCAATAGAAGCACCTTCTGTAAGTTACTGTAATATTGAGAGACTCCAGTGAAATAAGGTTTTAGCTTTGTGAGAAACCATCTTTCGCTTTCCACAGTTAAGCTCTCTAATAATGGCTTGATTCCATTGAACCACATCTGATTGACAAATAGGGAAATGCTGTAGCTCTTCTTTCAAAAGCTGAATGAAGATATTTAGTTCTCAGGCAGATGAGATAGGAAAGACCATTGGACTCGTTGCCTTCAGGTTCATCTGTTTGACTTGACTCTCATTTTGTGAACTTATTATGCAAACCCACCACTTAATTAAAAATATACTTGTACATGCTGACAGTGAGTCTTAAGAGGGATACATATTTTAACTTTGAGCACCATGTGGTGCATTATTTAATTTTCTCTTTAAATAAATTAGTTTTAAATTGAAAAGGCCTTTATTGCAATATTAAATTTTTCTAGTGTGAATACAAAACTGCCAACTTGCATGGTAACATGTCATGTCTTTATTTTCATGTAAGTAATATACATTCTCATGTTTAAAGGACTTTCCATCTCATTGGAATAGCTAATATCCCAGAAAAGACGATCCTTTGATAAGTTAGACATGTAATACCTGAAAACATAGGTTTCTGTCAGTTATGAAACTGGCAGAACTTTTAACTTTTGCAGCTCCTGACTTAAAAAAAACCCCACTTTTAGCTTTAGAACTAAAATAGTGAATGAATATATTTTAGGTAATTGAATTATGTGGATTTTAAAACTGTGGTGATAGATGTCAAAAACGCTATGTGCCAGTGCATTTTTCTTTAGCAGTTTCACATTGTTGAGTTTATGGAAGATCTCAGCACAACTTGAACGGACAGAGGAAGAATGCATTTTTTTCTTCTCCCTATTAGTTCTCAGAAGTTGATGAAGATGATTGGGATATATCATCAGTAGAAGAAGACTTCTTATTAATGAAAAATGATAGAGGCCAGAAGGCATTGACAGTTGAGAAAAATGAGCCAAATGCTGCATCTGTGGTACATGCATGGGGTCTTCCGAAGACAAGTGTACCAAAGGAGGAAGGTAACGTATTCATACTTCTACATTATAAGCCTTAAGCACCTAACACACCTAGAGGAGAACTTAAGTATACTGTATTACACATTGTAATTCAATGGTATTTTGTAAGAAAAGAACAAATAAGAAAAACTGTGTTCTTGGTTTTATGTCATATAAATATCATATATGATATTTATGGTACATACTTATATGTAAACAACACACACACATAAATACACAGAGATGCCAAGAAACTTAAATTTGAGATTTTAAAACATACAGGACTATCAGGCTTCAACCTTGTCTTAAAAATTAATCATCCAGGATTTTTTTTTAATCCTTTCCCAAATTTAAGGGAGGAGGGAAATTTTCTTACTTTGTCTTGAGAATAATAATCAAATTTCAGCTTTGTTCAAGATATCTAAGTGACCTACCAGGCTGAGATAAATATTTGAGCTACTGGTAAAGTAATAGCCTCAATCTTACATAGAACTTACATAGTAGTTTCGAGCCCTAACATTTCAATATACTTAAAGGTTAAAGCTGTGTCAGTTACATAAAGATACTTTATTTATATACGTTATTTTTAAAGGGAAAGTAATGTCGACACCGACTGCTCATACCGCGCATTGTATTCTGTGACAGAAACAGCCTTCATATTATCAACACTTGTAATTTCCTCACCGATTGAAATTCTGGACTTCCTGAAGGTGTTTGCTCACATAGCATGTGATTTTATCTCATAGAGAAATACAGAGTAAAAATACCCCCAAAATATTATTAATAACTGTTAATATTTTCTTGTTATTTTAACAGGCCTTCATGAAGCTGATAATACAAGCACGTTAAAAAGCAGCTTAGTCACTGTAACAGATTGGAGTGATTCTTCAGATATATAATGGTTGCATTCCTGATGGGAGGCACTGCCTTTGGGTTCTGTTGGGGTTGAAAGCGTAGTTGAAAACATGAAGTGTTTCCTATTCATTTCTCATATTGGTCATGTAATAACAAGGAATACTGTTTACAGAGCTCATGTGTCTTTCAGTCCTGAATTTGAAACAAGAATATTCATATACACATTACTGGCCATGTCTATTTGGAAATTTAGAGTTAATGCTTCTTTCTCATGAACTCAATGGTGAAAGTCTCTTTGATTTCACCGAGGTGAAGATTTTGCCTCTAATGTTTACATTGAAGATTGAAAGTGGTCTTGCAAGAAAGCCTGTTAACCAATGAACAGAATTTACTTCAGAGTATTACTTTATAAAATTTTTAAATGCACATTTGCGTGTATTTTATCATAAACTTTATATAAAATTGTGAACATTTTAAAGAAAGTATTTCCATATATTAAAATGTTACGTTTCTAACATGGTTTATAATAAACACCAAATGAAAAGGAAAAAAAGGCCTCAGCTATAAAGCTAGTTATTATTAAATGCCTCCTATTTTGGGAAATCATTCTTTTTTTTTTTTCCTATTAGAGCTGAGTCTTAGTTAACATAAAAGCACAAAAATTGGAAAAGAAATTAAAACGTCCAGCTAAGGGAAGTACTGACCTGCCATTGTGCGTACTTTCATATTTCTGTTTTGTCCATATTGGCTGCCTTCTTAAAACAAAAAAACGCAAGTGTTTTGACTTATATGAAATACAAAAATAAGGTAAAATAAAAGGAACCTTGAATGGCTTTGTAGTTCTGATGTATTTTACATGGTATCAGATACAAAACCTTTTCAATCATACTGTGCCACTAATAAATAGGACTATTCATTTTTTATATTTATACCCTTGTCCCAGAATGAAACTCCAAGGGTCCATCAATTCAAACCTCAGGGCAGACCTGAGTTTGTGTCTAATTTTAGGGTCCCAGTCTAGAAAGCATTTTGTGGTTATTCATGATCTCTAATCTCATTTATTGAATCATTGTACAAATATTTCCTCTAAAGCCATCACATTTCTATGGGCAGGCCCCCAAAAAAAAGTACTAGCTGAATTTTTGAACTGTTGCAACTAATTCAGGATTATCTAAAAAGTGCTGTTAAGTACTGCTGCTTTTATTTGGTCAGCCCTTCAGGAATGTCATTGGCAGAGCAGGCCAGCTGGTATTGCCTGGGGTTTTTCCTTCCCTTTTGTAACCCAGTGTGGCTTGGAGCCATTCTGGAGCCGAAGGTGTCCCTGCACCCTGCCCAGCGGGAGGAACAAAACCAACCCCCTGGATGTGACTTGTCGCCAGCAGGGGTGAGTGCTGAGACACGGTAGGAGCCCAGCGGCGCAAAGCAAATGCAGAATGTCCGAACTGTCTCCAAGCCTTGTCTTGCCCACCACAAAACTCCCCAAAGTCTGCAGCCTCAGCCTTTTCTCTCCCTGCCATGCACACAAATGCTCACGATCACGCGTGCATTCTTCTTCTCATGCATGCATTCTTCTTAGGCCGTGCAAGACCCTCTCTAGTGACTGTTTTCGTAACAACTGGCCCTGACTCTTCTTAGTACCTGCTCCTGCCTCCCCAAATCCCATACTTATTTCCACTTCACGCAGTCTCTTCGTCTTCTTACTCCTATGGCACGGAATTCACCAAGTTGCACGTTCGTCCACCCCGGCAATGTGGTAAGGAGGTAAGAGCCTGCTGATTCCCACTGACTGTCGTCATCTGGCCACTGCAGTTACGATATGCTCTGCAATTCCGATGTCACTGCTAATCAGTGGTGAGATATTTTACGTATTAACCTGCTCAGAGTATGGTTGTTTTGTCCAGTACTGAACCCATTTTAGAAACGGTTGCAATGATGCACTGCAGTCAGTATGATGCGTGTGATGCCATTCCCATAAGCAATTGACATACTAATTGGTAAATACCCCATTTATTTTTTTCCAGAAAGCAACATCAGCTCGTGATTTCCAGGTATAAACTTTACAATACCAACATCAATCTTAAAATACTATATAATAAAATTTACATCAATATGTAAAAGGCTGCAAGTTAATGTTTTAAAAAGTCATTGTCTTAGTGGTAATTACATTGGGGTTGGGGGGGGAAATCACTCTGAATGAAACATACAAACTCATTTTTAAAACGCTTTGCATCTTCCAACGGTACAATTACACATAAGCGTTCTTGTCAAAGTGCTTTGGTGGGGTTTTGTCTGGGACGCTGTTGTGCACCTTTGTACGAGAAGACATCACAGATGTGGCTCCATTATATGCATACCCCCTCCTGAAAAGAAAAGAGAATCAACCATTTACAGCTCACCCCACAGACAGGTAACATCTCTGTATCCAAGCGTTACAGCAATAAAAAACTAGAAGAAATGTTTAGGAACTTACCTATAAATTTCAGGGGAGGGGGCAGGGGGGACACCTTCCTTCCCTGTGTGGTCTCATTCTGGTTTGACATTCCCCCTCCAGCATCCCTCTTCGCAATTCATTTTTCTATAACTGCGTATCCCTTGTTCACAGCTAAGTAAATTGGGGCCCAATCATGAAATACTTAGGCTGTGGCAGATCCTAGGTGAACAGTTACTGCCTCCAGCTCTCCCTCTTCATTACCACCCCTCTTCTGCTGCTGGAGGTCCCACTGCCACCACCGCTGTCTTCACCTCTCTCACTTTTTATCTGACGATTTGGGATTAAAGAATCTTGTCTATTCACAGCTGTAAAGTGACCTGACCACTTTTCCTACATCAGTGAACGCCTTTTTTCCAGGTGTAGTAAATTTATGAAGTATATGTAACAGAAGTATTTGTTCCGAGTCAATAGCTTTTCGTAATTACATTGATGATGGACAGAGCATTATCCTTAAATCCCATTATTTTCTTTCATCCACGCAATCCTTTTCTGAACCTCACTACAAAGTGTTTCGGAAAAGTAATCAAACCGCATACATACACAACAGGCACAAATGCGCTAGTACTGATTTCTTTCAATAAGTACAACTTGTGTTTTACCTTGGAGAATTACTGTTTTCAGCTATTGAGAAGCAGAATATACTGCCACCGATTATGCAGAGAGAAGCTCCAGCCCATCCAATGAATAAAGCTGCTCCTAATTCATACCTACAGGAAGTTAACAAATGGGTTTAACAAAAGAGAGCATGAATTTAACAGTTTTTCAGAATAAAAGAACTAAATTTTATTCTTTCCTGAATAACTTCCCACTGACATACACGTTATTCATCGCAAAATCAGCAGCTCAGCCGTTCACCCATGTTCTTTTCATTATTTCCCTCTTACTGAGGAGGCAAACTCTGTCCCTGCGGTACACTTGGGCAATGCTTGTCTCCCCGCGCAGCCAGCCGGGATGCCTGGCTTTTCCACATCTCCTCCTGGATTGCTTGGCTGCAGGGGTACGTGATTCTGTGGCCCATTTACAGCGCACAGCTCCTGTCCCCTTGGACCGTTGCAGATTTGTTCCCGTTGGCTCCCAAACCGGACTGGGGCTTTTGCTGGGCTGGCGACTAGAGCTGCTGCCTACAGCTCTCCTTAACTCTCCCCTGTGGCTATCAGGATCTCCCTCCCTCCCCATCCACACTCCAGCCTGCTTAAAACATGAGGGTTTTGTACATATATATGATATGCATAAGCAATATATATACACACGTGCAATATATGCATATACATATACAGATGTATCTGATATATGCATATACAGATATGTACATACATGCACGCATATGCAGCTGTACATGTGTGTACACAAGCACGTGTGTATGTGCCGGTAACTTTCTGCTCTGTGTGGCTGGATTCAGGCTGGAAGACACCACTCCCCTGCGAGCCCTTGGGCACAGCTCCAGGTCACCAGCAACGGTCCCTTCTGCTGCCCAGGGCAGCCACAAATTGTTTGCAGCCAGAAACTGCTCAGTTTGACTCCGAGAGGAGATGATGGTGCTTTAGGAGCATTATCACACAAAGTCCAAGGTTCTAAAGCTACAGTAGTAAATGAAGGTAAAGAAGGGCATGGGGAAGAGATTCTTTTCCTCACCCTGCTTGAGCTCAGCGCCCATAACCTGAGCTCTGGAGCTTCAAGATGAGCAGCAAGCCATGGCTACCGCTTGTCTGCTCCATTCCCCAGCTCTTCAAAACACTTTCAGGATGACCTGCATTAGACCGCAGGCCCAACAGTCTCCAGAGTCTCATATTCCTCACTATTAGGACAGACTGTGTGTCTCTTGCTCCTTCTTCTCTGCTCCAGTTCCTCCTTGAGGAAACCTTTATCTCCTCCTGACTCCTAGGACTCTGCGCTGAAAACACAGGCCCCTGTCCCCCATCCAGCCGCAGTTACCAGTCAGGTGGCTGTGCTCTTCAAGCCTTTGTTAGCAAGTTAGTTTATTTATTGTTGGCTCTGGTAAGGCAGCCGAATGAAAGGCTCTTCTTGACAGCCTGCCTGTACAAGACTGTGCAGTTGCATACTTTTCAGCTAGTTCTGAACATTTCCATGTGAACAAATCCTAATTCCACATTAGCTGAAATACATAACTGAAAACACCTGTAAGCTGTTCTACAAAACTTGTATCTTTACAAAGATGACACTATGGAAACACTCAAAAATTGCCTGTGAGCCCAGACACCCAGAAAATGATACAGCGACTTCTATAATAGGTCACAAGAGGGTGAACGCTGGCTGGAGAACAAAAAAATCACTCTTCCATGTTTTCTTGAGATTCTAACTAGAAGAAAAACACAGACTTTAAAAAAAGTTACACAGGGAGAAAAAGCCACACTTAGGATATCAGTGCAAAATGCTGTGGACACTCAGGTTCAAGTCATTTCTGACTCAGGCACCTATTGCCAAAAAGAGATGGAGACATTGGCGCTCAGAGGTAGGACACTTCGCGAGGGCTTGCACCCGACACTTCATGGCCCCGCTAGTGCTCTAACTTCTAGGCTTCTTTTTCATTTTCCA